CGGCAAACCAGACAATCTCTATATCTCCACAGACAATGGAACAACAAACAATATTGTATACCCACAAGCATTGTGAAAGTAAACATTAGAAACCTGCGCTTTCTCTTTTCTTTCTTTCCCATTTAACCAGACTGAGCCACAGCAACGTTCGGTCATATTATTAAATATGACCGAAAAAATAACATTAATAATTCTAACACGAATTTTCTCAATGTTTCTTATATTTCTTTTCACTGTTGATGGTAAGTGTCATATTTAATAATATATATATATATATATATATATATATATATATATATATATATATATATATATATATATATATATATATATATATATATATATATATATATATATATATATGCGAACAAGCCTGAATGGTCCCCAGGACATATGCAACTGAAAACTCACACCCCAGAAGTGACTCGAACCCATACTCCCAGAAGCAACGCATCTGGTATGTACAAGACGCCTTAATCCACTTGACCATCACGACCGGACATAATGAGGTGATAGCCGAGGCTATATGAACCACCCCACCGCCGGCACTCGGATAGTTATCTTGGGCATAGCATTTTACCAAATCACCTCATTCTTTGGGGCACACGTGAGGAACACAAATGCGAACAAGCCTGAATGGTCCCCAGGACATATGCAACTGAAAACTCACACCCCAGAAGTGACTCGAACCCATACTCCCAGAAGCAACGCATCTGGTATGTACAAGACGCCTTAATCCACTTGACCATCACGACCGGACATAATGAGGTGATAGCCGAGGCTATATGAACCACCCCACCGCCGGCACTCGGATAGTTATCTTGGGCATAGCATTTTACCAAATCACCTCATTCTTTGGGGCACACGTGAGGAACACAAATGCGAACAAGCCTGAATGGTCCCCAGGACATATGCAACTGAAAACTCACACCCCAGAAGTGACTCGAACCCATACTCCCAGAAGCAACGCATCTGGTATGTACAAGACGCCTTAATCCACTTGACCATCACGACCGGACATAATGAGGTGATAGCCGAGGCTATATGAACCACCCCACCGCCGGCACTCGGATAGTTATCTTGGGCATAGCATTTTACCAAATCACCTCATTCTTTGGGGCACACGTGAGGAACACAAATGCGAACAAGCCTGAATGGTCCCCAGGACATATGCAACTGAAAACTCACACCCCAGAAGTGACTCGAACCCATACTCCCAGAAGCAACGCATCTGGTATGTACAAGACGCCTTAATCCACTTGACCATCACGACCGGACATAATGAGGTGATAGCCGAGGCTATATGAACCACCCCACCGCCGCCGCCTGGGGTGGTTCATATAGCCTCGGCTATCACCTCATTATGTCCGGTCGTGATGGTCAAGTGGATTAAGGCGTCTTGTACATACCAGATGCGTTGCTTCTGGGAGTATGGGTTCGAGTCACTTCTGGGGTGTGAGTTTTCAGTTGCATATGTCCTGGGGACCATTCAGGCTTGTTCGCATTTGTGTTCCTCACGTGTGCCCCAAAGAATGAGGTGATTTGGTAAAATGCTATGCCCAAGATAACTATCCGAGTGCCGGCGGTGGGGTGGTTCATATAGCCTCGGCTATCACCTCATTATGTCCGGTCGTGATGGTCAAGTGGATTAAGGCGTCTTGTACATACCAGATGCGTTGCTTCTGGGAGTATGGGTTCGAGTCACTTCTGGGGTGTGAGTTTTCAGTTGCATATGTCCTGGGGACCATTCAGGCTTGTTCGCATTTGTGTTCCTCACGTGTGCCCCAAAGAATGAGGTGATTTGGTAAAATGCTATGCCCAAGATAACTATCCGAGTGCCGGCGGTGGGGTGGTTCATATAGCCTCGGCTATCACCTCATTATGTCCGGTCGTGATGGTCAAGTGGATTAAGGCGTCTTGTACATACCAGATGCGTTGCTTCTGGGAGTATGGGTTCGAGTCACTTCTGGGGTGTGAGTTTTCAGTTGCATATGTCCTGGGGACCATTCAGGCTTGTTCGCATTTGTGTTCCTCACGTGTGCCCCAAAGAATGAGGTGATTTGGTAAAATGCTATGCCCAAGATAACTATCCGAGTGCCGGCGGTGGGGTGGTTCATATAGCCTCGGCTATCACCTCATTATGTCCGGTCGTGATGGTCAAGTGGATTAAGGCGTCTTGTACATACCAGATGCGTTGCTTCTGGGAGTATGGGTTCGAGTCACTTCTGGGGTGTGAGTTTTCAGTTATATATATATATATATATATGTCGTACCTAGTAGCCAGAACTCACTTTTTGGCCTACTATTCAAGGCCCGATTTGCCTTATAAGCCAAGTTTTCCTGAATTAATATATTTTTTCTAATTTTTTTCTTATGAAATGATAAAGCTACCCATTTCATTATGTATGAGGTCAATTTTTTTTTATTGGAGTTAAAATTAACGTAGATATATGACCGAACCTAACCAACCCTACCTAACCTAACCTAACCTATATTTATAGGTAAGGTTAGGTTAGGTAGCCAAAAAAAGCTAGGTTAGGTTAGGTTAGGTAGGTTAGGTAGACGAAAAAACATTAATTCATGAAAACTTGGCTTATTAGGCAAATCGGGCCTTGAATAGTAGGCTGAGAAGTGCGTTCTGGCTATTAGGTACGACATATATATATATATATATATATATATGTCGTACCTAGTAGCCAGAACACACTTCTCAGCCTACTATGCAAGGCCCGATTTGCCTAATAAGCCAAGTTTTCATGAATTAATATATTTCTCTAATTTTTTTCTCATGAAATGATAAAGCTACCCATTTCATTTTGTATGAGGCCATTTTTTTTTTATTGGAGTTAAAATTAACGTAGATATATGACCGAATCTAACCAACCCTACCTAACCTAACCTAACCTATCTTTATAGGTTAGGTTAGGTTAGGTAGCTGAAAAATTTAGGTTAGGTAGGTTAGGTAGTCGAAAAACAATTAATTCATGAAAACTTAGCTTATTAGGCAAATCGGGCCTTGCATAGTAGGCTGAGAAGTGCGTTCTGGCTACTAGGTACGACATATATATATATATATATATATATATATATATATATATATATATATATATATATATATATATATATATATATATATATATATATATATATATATATATATATATATGCGAACAAGCCTGAATGGTCCCCAGGACTATATGCGAATGAAAACTCACACCCCAGAAGTGACTCGAACCCATACTCCCAGGAGCAACGCAACTGGTAACTACAGGGCGCCTTAATCCACTTGACCATCACGGCCGTCAAAAGGAAGTGATAGCCGAGGCTATTTGAGCCACTTCCCCGACGGCAACTCGGATGGTAATCTTGGGCATAGCATTTCACCAAATCACCTCATTCTTTGGGGCACACGTGAGGAACACAAATGCGAACAAGCCTGAATGGTCCCCAGGACTATATGCGAATGAAAACTCACACCCCAGAAGTGACTCGAACCCATACTCCCAGGAGCAACGCAACTGGTAACTACAGGGCGCCTTAATCCACTTGACCATCACGGCCGTCAAAAGGAAGTGATAGCCGAGGCTATTTGAGCCACTTCCCCGACGGCAACTCGGATGGTAATCTTGGGCATAGCATTTCACCAAATCACCTCATTCTTTGGGGCACACATGAGGAACATAAATGCGAACAAGCCTGAATGGTCCCCAGGACTATATGCGAATGAAAACTCACACCCCAGAAGTGACTCGAACCCATACTCCCAGGAGCAACGCAACTGGTAACTACAGGGCGCCTTAATCCACTTGACCATCACGGCCGTCAAAAGGAAGTGATGGTGTGAATCACCAAAGGGGTGTGAGTTTTCATTCGCATATAGTCCTGGGGACCATTCAGGCTTGTTCGCATTTGTGTTCCTCACGTGTGCCCCAAAGAATGAGGTGATTTGGTGAAATGCTATGCCCAAGATTACCATCCGCGTTGCCGTCGGGGAAGTGGCTCAAATAGCCTCGGCTATCACTTCCTTTTGACGGCCGTGATGGTCAAGTGGATTAAGGCGCCCTGTAGTTACCAGTTGCGTTGCTCCTGGGAGTATGGGTTCGAGTCACTTCTGGGGTGTGAGTTTTCATTCGCATATAGTCCTGGGGACAATTCAGGCTTGTTCGCATATTATATATATATATATATATATATATATATATATATATATATATATATATATATATATATAACTGAAAACTCACACCCCAGAAGAGACTCGAACCCATACTCCCAGAAGCAACGCATCTGGTATGTACAAGACGCCTTAATCCACTTGACCATCACGACCGGACAAAATGAGGTGATAGCCGAGGCTATTTGAACCACCCCACCGCCGGCACTCGGATAGTTATCTTGGGCATAGCATTTTACCAAATCACCTCATTCTTTGGGGCAACACGTGAGGAACACAAATGCGTTCGCATTTGTGTTCCTCACGTGTTGCCCCAAAGAATGAGGTGATTTGGTAAAATGCTATGCCCAAGATAACTATCCGAGTGCCGGCGGTGGGGTGGTTCAAATAGCCTCGGCTATCACCTCATTATGTCCGGTCGTGATGGTCAAGTGGATTAAGGCGTCTTGTACATACCAGATGCGTTGCTTCTGGGAGTATGGGTTCGAGTCACTTCTGGGGTGTGAGTTTTCAGTTGCATATGTCCTGGGGACCATTCAGGTATTGGATATTTTCCATTCAACGCAATTGTCTTCTACCATCTGGAGGATGAAGAAACACTAGATCACTTAATCTTTCCATTGTTACTGTTCGACATTTTGTCAACAATGTGACATCTTCAGCAGTACACTCTGTTGAACTGACACACCTATACTGAGCTTGGGGACCATGAACCAATTGGAAGGAGAGACAAAATATAAGACAAAATATAATCAATATATCTAAACCGTGAAATAATTTGAGACTGAATTCTCTTGTAAACATTTTTCTAACGTGTTCCCGGCAGAGGAGGATGGGCGGGAAGACTGTGTTGCTGGTGGTGGCGGCGCTGACGGTGCTGAGCCTGCGCGTCCAGGCTGACATTGACGCTGACGGTAAACCCTCTTAGCTTCACTACAGTTCCCTCACTCTCTTAGCTTCACTACAGCTCCCTCACACTCTTAGCTTCACTACAGCTCCCTCACTCTCTTAGCTTCACTACAGCTCCCTCACTCTCTTAGCTTCACTACAGCTCCCTCACTCTCTTAGCTTCACTACAGCTCCCTCACTCTCTTAGCTTCACTACAGCTCTCCCTCACTCTCTTAGCTTCACTACAGCTCCCTCACTCTCTTAGCTTCACTACAGCTCCCAGCTCACACTAGCTTCACTACAGCTCCCTCACTCTCTTAGCTTCACTACAGCTCCCTCACTCTCTTAGCTTCACTACAGCTCCCTCACTCTCTTAGCTTCACTACAGCTCACTACTCACTCTAGCTTCTTCACTACAGCTCCCTCACTCTCTTAGCTTCACTACAGCTCCCTCACTCTCTTAGCTTCACTACAGCTCCCTCACTCTCTAGCTTCACTACAGCTCCCTCACTCTCTTAGCTTCACTACAGCTCCCTCACTCTCTTAGCTTCACTACAGCTCCCTCACTCTCTTAGCTTCACTACAGCTCCCTCACTCTCTTAGCTTCACTACAGCTCCCTCACACTCTTAGCTTCACTACAGCTCCCTCACTCTCTTAGCTTCACTACAACTTCCTCACTCTCTTAGCTTCACTACAACTTCCTCACTCTCTTAGCTTCACTACAGTTCCCTCACTCTTAGCTTCACTACAGCTCCTTCACTCTCTTAGCTTCACTACAGCTCCCTCACTCTCTTAGCTTCACTACAGCTCCCTCACTCTCTTAGCTTCACTACAGCTCCCTCACACTCTTAGCTTCACTACAGCTCCCTCACTCTCTTAGCTTCACTACAGCTCCCTCACACTCTTAGCTTCACTACAGCTCCCTCACTCTCTTAGCTTCACTACAGCTCCCTCACACTCTTAGCTTCACTACAGCTCCCTCACTCTCTTAGCTTCACTACAGCTCCCTCACTCTCTTAGCTTCACTACAGCTCCCTCACTCTCTTAGCTTCACTACAGCTCCCTCACACTCTTAGCTTCACTACAGCTCCCTCACACTCTTAGCTTCACTACAGCTCCCTCACACTCTTAGCTTCACTACAGCTCCCTCACTCTCTTAGCTTCACTACAGCTCCCTCACACTCTTAGCTTCACTACAGCTCCCTCACTCTTTTAGCTTCACAACAGTTCCCTCACTCTCTTAGCTTCACTACACCTCCCTCACTTTCTTAGCTTCACTACAGCTTCCTCACTCTCTTAGCTTCACTACACCTCCCTCACTTTCTTAGCTTCACTACAGTTCCCTCACTCTTTTAGCTTCACTTCAGCTCCCTCATTCTTTTAGCTTCACCACAGCTCCCTCACACTCTTAGCTTCATTACAGCTCCCTCACTTTCCTAGCTTCACTTCAGCTCCCTCACTCTTTTAGCTTCACTACAGCTTCCTCACTCTCTTAGCTTCACTTCAGCTCCCTCACTCTTTTAGCTTCACTACAGCTTCCTCACTCTCTTAGCTTCACTTCAGCTCCCTCACTCTTTTAGCTTTACTATATATCTCTCTCACTCTCTTAGCTTCACTACAGCTCCCTCACTCTCTTAGTGTGGGAAAATCCTAGAAAGCTTTAATTTTTTTTTATTCTGTGAATATTCAATATTTATTTTATTTACTTTTTAATTGACTTTATATTATATTATTTTTCTTCTGAGCTAGTTCTTAGTTAGTAAGTTAGTTAGTTAGTAGTGGACTGTATGTACTGAGTCAGCTGCTAGAATTTATTACACACTGTTGGGTGGGACAATTTGTAGCTTAAACCACTTTGAGGTGGATCCTTCATATACCATAAATTGTTTACCTAGTCTTTAATATATAAATTATAAATCATACCACATATGGTAGTCTAATCTACTATAATACTACAGTAAATTAAATTTATAACTACTAATACTATGTCTACAGTATGAAACATCAAAGGGCCTTAGCTGCTACTGTAGTTGTTGCCTACTAAGGCTGTGTAATGGTAGCATCAAATGAGGGTGTGGCCCTGTGCCATGTAATGGCGGCTGTCTGGAGGCCTACAAGGCTTGATGTACAGCTAGTGGTAGCAATTCCAATAATTAGGTTGGGAGCCAGCTTCCTGCTTCACTAACTTCCCTCACAATTACCTGTTTGGGATGTAAGTAATTAATAATGGTTCCCTAAACATATAAGTACAGGTATGACATGGAATATGTGTGTGTGTGTAGAGCTGAGTAAATTCACTGTGTTTGGGGATTTAATCCTACGTCTTAACGATATTTCCTACAATAATAATGGGCAGAATTAAATGCAATAGAAATACCGAAAATTGTTCTTCCCTTTGTTCATGAGATCTTCGGTTGGGCAGATCGTAGAGGATCCTGTGTCGAAGCTCGGAGAAAGAACCTTTGTGTTGTAAAATTTGTGAGGGAGAGCTTCCTCACTGTTTACAAGTTGCTGTCTGTACGTGACGACGCTCTAGGGGAGAGCCTAAAATGTTTGGTGGTTCTATTTATGTTTAAGGAACAGAGAGTTTAGCTATATTCCTGTTGTATTTAATTATATTCAGTCCTAGTGAACACTTTTTTATTAAGTTTAAACACTAGATTGTTGTTTAAAAGTCCTAGTGAACACTTTTTTATTAAGTTTAAACACTAGATTGTTGTTTAAAAGAAATTAGAGTTGATATAAATACGTGTCGTCGATGATGTCTCGGAATCACCCATTCTTTTTTCCTTTATGGGGGTAACTTATGTCATTATGTTTGTCGGATTTCCGACATAATTCCGGGGAGGGGGGGAAAGGAACACAGGTCGAAGTCCCGGTAAGGACTGCGATCACTTTATTCATCTCCTTCCGAATTATAGTGTTGCTTTAATTTGAGTTTGCATTGTTATGCTGCAGTCCTTTGGGGACGGATGTCCCGTACTGGCGTTTCGGGTGCTGGAAGTCGTTGAACGTCTTCTTTTCCTGCCAGTTCTAAAGGAACTAATTTCTCTAATGTTTTGAGAGTAGTGTTGCCTTGGCATTTTACTTTCACTATTCTCAAGATGCCCTGGCTGTCCGGATGAACAGAGACTATTTGGACTATAGGCCTCTCTGAGTGTGGCCCATCAATATCCACCAGAACTATGTCACCAGGGTTCAAGTTAATTCTGTTGTAGAGGTTGTTTGCCCCGTAATGATACTCCCTCAGAGCAGTAAGGTATTCTCGAGTCCATACGTCATTCCATGACTTATCACCCCTGATAGATGTTTGAAACGTTGAACCCAAATCACTCTCTCGGACACATGAAGGATCCTCTGGTTCCTCGTCCGTAAGAGACACAAGGGTGCTGAGAGGTCTCCCATACATCAGATGAGCTAGACTTAATGGTTCACGCTGCAAAACATCATCAGAGAGGTAGGTAAGTGGTCGGTTATTAACTCGTGCTACTATCTCTATAGCTACGGATTGGAACTCCTGTAGGTCAATCTTTTGGCAGTGCAGGATTTTCCATAGAGAACGTTTCACTGTACAATCATGCGTTCATAGAAGCTTCCATGCCATGGTGCTCTGGGAGGTATGAATTTCCTGTGGCACTGCCGTTAATTTAGGGCCATGCGCACCTTTGGGTGTGTCCAGATTTTCCTCAAACATGCTTCTGCTGCCACTAAGTTGGACCCATTGTCTGAGACCATTAACTTAGGACAGGATCTACGTGAAGTAAACCTACGGAAAGCCTGTAAGAATGCCTCGCCACTCATATTGGGTGTCACTTCTAGATGGACTGCCCTTGTTGTGGCACAAGTGAAAAGACAGATATATGCCTTTACTGGTTTTTTGTCCTTGGTACCTGTTAGTATTAGTGCTCCTGTGAAATCTACTCCTGTAGTCTCAAAGGGACGAATATATACAACTCGTTCCTTTGGAAGTGGAGGGCCTGGATATGGACACACTCTGGCATCGTATCTCCGGCAAATAACACAGGATTTAATTATGGATTTTAATGTCTGCTTACCTTGGGGTAGCCAGTATTGTTGTTTTAAGTCTGTTAGAGTATCTAATACCCCACCATGCAGTGTTGTATTTGTGTATGTGTAACACAATTAGTTTGCTTACTATGTGGTGACGAGGAAGCAATATTGGAGATTTTGCTTCCAGATCTATGTCCGCATGCTGTAAGCAGCCTCCGCATCTGATTATGTTATAATTGTTGGTATCTACCCAGAGACCCAGATCATTTTGTAGCTTCTTAGGGACATTGTCAAATTCTGTCCCCGAATATCTGTCTGAGCTCTATTGACCCAGTACCTTAGGGCACTGGGGAATTTATGCTTGATTCCTATTTTCTTTAGAAAATCAAACCCTACTTGGGTGACACCTATTAGTTTGTTCAGGTTAGATTACCGATTAGGATCAATTACGAATGTCCGAGGTAGTTCTGGGTTCTCAGTGGGAACAGTGACATTGGTCACAATGACTTGTGGTTTTTGTTTAGGCCACTGGTCGCTGATTAGCCACTTGAGGTCCATTGAACCACATCTCTGCCTTTGTTAATTTCCATAAAGTCAGGCCTCGGGAGAGATAGTCAGCTGGATTCTCTTTGGTGGGAACATATCTCAGTTTATACCCTGCTGACAACTCTCGTATTTCCTTAACGCAGTTACTTACGTAAGGATTTTTATTATTATTGTTGTTAACCCACTGTAGCACTTCCTCATTATCTGACCATACCACCGTTTCTTCAAAGTGGATGTTGCTTAAGGCCTTGATCTGATAATGAGCCAATCTTTCACCTAGAAGTAAGGCTGTTAATTCCAGTTGTGGCAATGATCGTTTCTTTAACGGTGCCACTCTGGCCTTTGATGTGAAAATGGGCAATTGGCTTGCCCATTTGAGACCAAGTAAGCTACTGTGCCATAAGCCTTTTCCTGAGGCATCACAGAATACATGTAGCTTAATTGGTTCCTTTTCATTTACTGTGTTC